GAGGAGGAGGAGGAGGAGGAGGAGGAGGAGGAGGAGGAGGAGGAGGAGGAAGAGGATAATTCACCAAAGATCTTGAATCCATTGGCCCAGGAAAGAACCTTCATTTCGTTTTCAGTCCTACCCTGTTATCTGATCTTTTCAACTTGTCAGCCCAGGTCTGTCTCTGCATGATATGTTCTGACTTAGCACAAGGCAACTGTGCACTATAAATCCCATGAGTCCAACAAATAGGTCATGTAGTTTTCTATCTGAACAAGAGTCTAGTCTAGGAAATGTATCCCCACATGCTACCCTACTTTTGGAAGAAGAATGCCAACCAAGCAGTGCACAAGCTAGGCATGGCACTGGGTATATTCTATCTGGGCTCTGTGTGTCCAGATGGCTGAGGACCAGGTGTCTGCTTGGGCACTGAGCATCATGTAAATAACTCCTTTATATGTCCTAGATGGCCCAGAACCATGGCACGGTTGGGTATAAATCGTCATTCCTAAACTTTCAATTAACTGTGGTACCTGAGATAACAAATATTTCAATCACATCAAACAGAGAGTAAAATTAAAATTTTATTCTTGCACTATGTATGCAACTGTATACATACTTGTCTTCCAGGGTGAACTAAAAAACATGAAGAGTGAGATGAAAACATGACTTGGTTAGACACAGAAGAATCCTTTCATATTTTATGGGGAGAAACACATACAGAGAGAGAGAGAGAGAGGAGAGAGAGAGACCAAGATCCTCCCTAGCCATTATGTTAAACTGACTAAATGGTAGATGTATCAGAATCTCTTGGGGTAAGATGGCATGTCATCTTCAGGCAGGGTTGTCATGCTGTCCTTGATGGGGAAATCTAACACATTGGTTTAGTTCCTGCAACCTGCAACTGATACCAGAATCTTATGCTGTGTCCTGCAGGATGGAGAGATGTGGTCCTCTGTCAACTGTACCATCTGTGCTTGTGTGAAAGGCAAGACAGAATGTCACAAGAAGCAGTGCATTCCTATCAGCAGCTGCCCACACGTTATGTTTTGATTACAGGTTGACTTTGTGTTTACCTTGCGAACTGCATGGCACATGTCTTTTTTGAAATAGAGACCCAGGAACTACTAAATAGCCAGAAGTGCATGGTGAAACTTGTTACATCTTTCTTGTAATCTCCACCCAAAGTTGAGCCTTGTGTGAAAAACTTTCTTGTCTGGTTCTTGCCCCAACCTTCCTACATGTTTACTGACTTCTCACAATTCTCTATCTCCCTTTGCCTAGACCCTGTTTTCTTTTGTTTGGCTTTCTAGTAACTGTTATAACCATCTTTTTCTGCCTTTTCTTTCTTCTCAAATCACAGCCTTCTCATAGTCAAGGTAATATGTGGGTGCTTATTAATAAATTCCCCAAGAGGATTCTCCTGCCTAGCAGCAGTACCAATCCCTCTGCTGAAGTTTTGTCTCTAACTTTGGCCTCCATTGTAGCCCCACATGGAAATAGCATCTTTATGGAAATATCTCTTTTCAAATACCCACAATCCAGTTCCCTGAAGAAAGCCACCTTTATCTTCTGAAGCATGAGCTCCATAGCACCCACCTCAGCAACTTGAAACCTTTCAAGGTTTTGTGCATTTTGGGAAAATGTCAAACCTATTCAGTACCTTCTGGTGAATGAAGAAAACATATCCATATATTCAGAACATGTCCTCTATTTTGTACTATAGAATTCTTTCAATTTTATTCACATGTTATTATTATAAACAAAAAGTTGCTGTTTTTACTTGAGTGCCAAATGAGGCACAAAAAAACACCAGCTGTTGCCATTGCACAACTGAATAAAGGGGAGAGAAAAAGGGAAAAAGAGCCTAATTAGTCTTGTTTTAAAAAGCCTCAGATATAAAACTGAAAACCTCCCATAAAAAGAAAAAAAGAGGTACAATATGCAGACTTGAACATGGGCTGCTTATAAATATTCATTGGGAAAAATGGAATCACATCATTTCTGTCAGTCCTCAGGGAACCCTCACTGCTAATGAACTCTCAAAGCACATGTTAGTAATAACGTGCTTCCTTATTCTACAAGACAGAACCAGGAAACTGTGCCAACCTGGTGGCTCAAGTAACTTGCCTCAGCAGGCTGCTGTGGAGTTTCCAGCTTCTCTTCAGTTCTGCAACTTGCAGCAGGGTCAATGGTTTCTATAGGGAGGTCACAGATCTTCATGTTGCCTGTGTTTCCCTAGTGATCCTTCTGTGTGTGCCACATTCAGGCCAGGCACGTCCATCCCTCCCGAAAAGGTCTTTGCCCAGCCCCACCCTCTCCGTGGTCATTGGAGCTTGTTAGTGCCCTGACCTGGCTGCCACCCCGGCTA